GGCAAGCAAGGCAAGCACTCTACCACTGAGCCACCTTCCCAGCCCTCACAGACTTTCTTATCCAGGATGGCTTTGTTTTTTTTTGTGTGTGTTTTTTTTTGTCAGTCGTGGGGCTTGAACTCTGGGCTTGGACACTGTCCTGCGCTCTTCAGCTCAAAGGGAGTGCTCTACCGCTTGAGCCACAGCACCACTTCCGGTTTTCTAGGGGTTTATTGGAGATAAGAGTCGCAGGCTTTCTTGCCCAGGCTGGCTTTGAACCGTGATCCTCAGATCTCAGCCTCCCGAGTAACTAGGATTACAGGTGTGAGCCACCAGAGCCTGGCTGCCAGCATGGCTTTGAACCGCAATTATCAGATCTCAGCCTCCCTAGTAGCTAGGATTACAGGTGTGAGTCGCTAGCACCCTGGCTACAGTAATAAGTTTTTTTTTTGTTTTGTTTTGCTAGTCATGGGGCCTGAACTCTGGGCCTGGGTGCTGTCCCTCAGCTCTTCAGCTCAAGGCTAGCTCTACCACTCTAGTCACAGCACCACTTCCAGTTTTTTCTACTTATGTGGTGTTGAGGAAGCTAACCCAGGGCCTCATGCATGCAAGGCAAGCACTCTACCAGTGAGCCACCTTCCCAGCCCCTACAGTACAAGTTTTAAAGCACAATAATTAATACTTGTTTCCTAGGACTATAGTTTTTTGGTTTTGGTTTTTGTTTTTGCCAGTCCTGGGACTTGAGCTCAGGATCTGAGCACTGTCCCTGAGCCTCTATGCTCTACCACTTGAGCCACAGCAATTACTTCTAGCCTTTTCTGTTTATGTGGTACTGAGGAATTGAACCCAGGGCTTCATGCATGCTAGGCAAGCACTCTACCACTAAGCCACATTCACAACCCTCCTGGCACTATACTTTATCATATTTTTTCTGTCCTATACCTTGCTTTATACAAGACTACAAAAGGATAACCTAGAACTTTATATCCTATGGATTTTATTAAACTGTTTAAAAGTTCATTGGTTTATTTAATGGGAAAAAAAAGAACTCAAGCTGGCCACCGGTGGCTCATGCCAGCTCAGGAAGGAAAAGAAAAGCAGTGAGATTAGACTTTATTTCCAATAAACTACTCAGAGAAAGTCACAAGTTGCACTGTGGTTCAAGTGGTAGAGCATTAGCCTTGAGCACACAGAGGGTTGGGACAACAGCACCCAGGCCCTGAGTTCAAGCCCCAGGACCAGCAACATCAACATCCATCAATCAAGTTTTATATAACAACATATATAAATATTAAATATAACTCAGTGGTAAGAGTGTTAACCTAGCATGAGCAGTAGCCTGGGCTTGACAAATGGAAGGAGGCTAAAGGTCTCTGTCTTAGAAATCAATATTTTTGTGTGACTGATGACAAAAATCAAGCAGCAAACTTTCAAAATGTTGTTAGTTGATGCTAATGAAACTTTTTCGACCACCTACTAGTGATATCGATTATGACCCCTTATTTTTTAGAGTTGGTATTGTTTTGTTTAAGAATACTTAAAACATATTTACTGTATTTGCACATAAGTTAGCAAATCACGTGGTGTTTGACCTTGAGAAAACAATTGGAAATTTTGCACATGTTTTGCTTTGACCACTGTGTGTGTATGTGTGTGTGAGATTTTGAAGGAGAAAAACATGTTTTTTAGATATTACAACTTTTTATGTGAGATGAAACAATTTTGCTTGAATATTTGTTGGTTAAACTGTAAACCATCTTTTATGATTATGATTTTATTAAATCATCTTGAAATTTATTTTTGAGAAGAGATTATTTCACATAATTGAGAATGTAGCTAAGATCTATGTGAGGGTAGTACATACCTTTAAAGCAGCCATTTTAATATTTAACTTGTAATTGGAAAAGAAAATCCAGTGGAGAATATTGGATATTCATCAGAATGAGAGGTGTAGAATATTAAAACATTTCTTTGTGTTTTGCCTTTTGTGGCAGGCATTGCTGTAACCCAGCTGGCCTCCAACTTAATCTTCTTAACTCAGCCTCCCAAGTTCTGAGGTTACAAGCGTGCTATACCACATCAGCTTAATTGAAACATGTCTTCATCACACATAAGTACAGCTTTAAGTTTGGTTGTTAAGCATATTTTGATGTTTTGTGGTGCTAGCAGTCACATCAACTAAACAGCAGTCTATCCTTATATTACTCCAATCTTAGCTTATAAGTGCATTTTAAAGCCTTACTAAGTTTACTGGTTTATTAGTGGAGAGAAGTGTTGCCTTCTCCCCCAAATATGAAAGGTTCTATATAGGTGATCATCTGGAATTCATGAGTAAATTGGGTTTTGACAATATATTCTTACATTAATTCTGTTGACTATTTCCAAAATTTTATTATCAAATACAACTTAATATGAAAGAACAAGCTTACAATTTAAGGGGAAACAGTTTAAAAAGATGGTATTTTAAAGCCAGATGTAGTAGCATACTTGTAATCTTAGCACTGAGAAGGTAGAGACAGGAAGGTCTCTGTTTAAGGCTGAGCTATATAGTAGTACTTAGGCTCTAAAAGTTCACCAATCTTTTATGAATTCTTAGTAATTAGTAAATGTCTTCACCTTTGTACTAACCTCACTAATAGACAGCTGGTGTCGTGTGAATGAGCCCTTAAAAATGGCTTATACTGTAGGGACTATTTTTCTATGTGCTTTCTTAATAGTGTTGTGTCTGATTTCTGTGTGGTAATAAAAACATTTTTGAGAACTTGCTTTGTGATTGAAATTCCTTCTCAGTAATATTACTCTAATGTATGGAGCTGCATTGTAAGTTGAAATTCATAGTAAAAATATTAAGGTTGTTGTCCTTAAATTAGACATTGTCATGGAATTTATGTTGTTTGTCCCTTTTCTCACATCCATTTTCTGTTTTGTCATCTTTTACCTACTGCTAACTTTCCCAAATTCACTGGTCATTTTCTCCCCCACCTCTCAACTCCTTTTTCCACTCACAGCTACACACTACTTCTTGAAGCCACACTTCTAAGTCCAGTTATTTTGCTGGTTAATTAGAGATAGTATTTCTTGGACTTTTCTACCATAGCTGGCTCTGAACTGCAATCCTCATATCTCAGCCTCCTGAGTAGCTAAGATGGTAGGTATGAGCCACCGCCATCTGGCTGAATATCTAAAAACTTTAAAATAGGTTCTATAAAAAAATTTTATACATAGTTAAATGCCATTATTATTTCTCTGAGAAAGCCATTTTGAATAACAAAAGGCTTTGGTTATAACAGTAAAGTCAAGGCTTTAATTAATAACCCTGATGCTTAAAAATTGTTGAAAACTGCAGATATTGATTTTTAAAAAAATAAAGTACACATGAAAATTTAAGAGGATCCTGTCAATATCCTAGTGTCCATAGTATTTTAACTACAGTTGCATAGGATTTTAAAGGCATAGCAAAGAACTTTTCATCTGAAGTTCACTAACTCTTGTCTTTATAAATCTTACCTTAAAGCTTAAGTAGCTTACCTAAGTGGATCTTGTCTAGAACTAGTTTCCTTGATGTCTTTCTCAAATTCATCTTTCTTGGTGTGCAAAAACATCTGTAACTCCAGTCACCTCTTATAGCATTTCTGTGTCTTTTAACTTATAACATCTATTTTTTAAAATCTAGTCAAAATCTTTCTTACCGGTAACTTTTTTTTAATACTTCCTCTACCCACTGAGTTCATACATTGTATCCTTGCTCTAATCTATCATTAGTGGAATTGGTCCCGTGGTAGACTAGTAACTATCAGATATTGTCTGGTTTTTTTTTAGAGTAATAAAGCTTAACATTAAAATACCACTCTTGGGTATATGGATAATCAAATGTAGGAAGCAATGACTCCATAAACATATGTAGCAAATAGCAATAGACTTCTGTGTTGTGTGATTGTGAATATAAAATTGTATCTTTTAGTGTTTTATGAGAATTACATGTAAACAATTGAATATTTTATGCTATCCTTTTTGAGGTACAATGATAATGAATTAAAAAATGAAACAATTTCATCCATAAACACATCTTAGTGGATCATAATCTGAATTTAAAAATATTCAAGTGATTGGGCTATTCTTGGGAAAAGTTTGCAGAAGTCTAAGTTACCAAGACCTCATTTTCATATTTTAAATGTTATGAACTCTAGAGGTGCTGTATCCCTGAACATTGAATGAGCACTGATGGGGGTGCTAAATCGAGAAGTTTCTATTCTTTAAATCCACCTATATTTCCTATACTTGGGTTTTTTCTTGGAAGATCTCCTATTTTCATATTCACCAGAGTTGGTTCTCCTTAACCTTACAGGAATAGATAAGAAATAAGCACTGCCTGGTGTAGGGTGGCAGTTTGTTGTATGGCTTAAATTTGGGCAGAAATTCTTAAAACTATAGGAAATGACTTATTTTTCTTATTCACATCTGTCTTCACCTCAATTTGATTTTTCTGCATGAAGGTCTCATTTATTATTTGGTCTTAAGTCTTACATCAGGTACTTGACCCTTAAGCTTCATTTACTTGTGATTTTACTTGGTTCTTTCTGATAGTGATAATAGGTCTCATTTTCCAAAACAATACAACTGATTCATCTCTGACTTGCTGACCTTGATTTTTTTTAATTTAATTTTTTTAGTCTTCTGAAATTTAAGCATCATACTATAGGGTGTATTTTTGTTCTTCTGAAGGAAGAAACTCATCTATGTTTTCACTGGAATTTTGATGTATTCAGACATCTTACCCTTGAGTTTAAATGTTTTTAAACAATATGAAATTCCTTTTAATAAATTTTAGAATGAAAAAAGCTACTTTTTAAATATATGCAGGCTCTGCATACATCTGGAATCTGTTTAAGATATGTAATAAATTCCTTGTAAGATTGAGATCTTAATGTTTTTTTATCAACATGATGCGTAAGTTTTTTTTTTCTTAAAAAACGGCATCTACTTAAAGGGATTTATGACTAAAATTGCTTATTTTTCTACAGAGTTGTCTGCTGGTTCTCAGCTTGAAGAAGATTCTACAGTCCTTATTGATCCTTTTTCTTGGCGTTACCATTTTTGAAGCAAAGTTAACCTAGCTTTCTAGTTTGAGCTTTCTTTTTGGCCGTCTTTTAAAAAAAATTTTTTCAATCTATAAAATAGACAAGAGATAGTTCTACAATGTCCAAGTCATTCCAGCAGTCATCTCTCGGTAGGGACTCACAGGGTCATGGGCGTGACCTGTCTGCAGCAGGAATAGGCCTTCTTGCTGCTGCTACCCAGTCTTTAAGTATGCCAGCATCTCTTGGAAGGATGAACCAGGGTACTGCACGCCTTGCTAGTTTAATGAATCTTGGAATGAGTTCTTCATTGAATCAACAAGGAGCTCATAGTGCACTGTCTTCTGCTAGTACTTCTTCCCATAATTTACAGTCTATATTTAACATTGGAAGTAGAGGTCCACTCCCTTTGTCTTCTCAACACCGTGGAGATGCAGACCAGGCCAGTAACATTTTGGCCAGCTTTGGTCTGTCTGCTAGAGACTTAGATGAACTGAGTCGTTATCCAGAGGACAAGATTACTCCTGAGAATTTGCCCCAAATCCTTCTACAACTTAAAAGGAGGAGAACTGAAGAAGGCCCTACCTTGAGTTATGGTAGAGATGGCAGATCTGCTACACGGGAGCCACCATACAGAGTACCTAGGGATGATTGGGAAGAAAAAAGGCACTTTAGAAGAGATAGTTTTGATGATCGTGGTCCTAGTCTCAACCCAGTGCTTGATTATGACCATGGAAGTCGTTCTCAAGAATCTGGTTATTATGACAGAATGGATTATGAAGATGACAGATTAAGAGATGGAGAAAGGTGTAGGGATGATTCTTTTTTTGGTGAGACCTCGCATAACTATCATAAATTTGACAGTGAGTATGAGAGAATGGGACGTGGTCCTGGCCCCTTACAAGAGAGATCTCTCTTTGAGAAAAAGAGGGGCGCTCCTCCAAGTAGCAATATTGAAGACTTCCATGGACTCTTACCGAAGGGTTATCCCCATCTGTGCTCTATATGTGATTTGCCAGTTCATTCTAATAAGGTGAGTTAATGCAACAGATGCTTCTAATTTCTTTTACATTGTAGTGCCTATTCTGTATTTACCTATATCTTTCACTCTAATTCTATAGTCTGATGAGAACACTTTATTTGGAAGGTAATTGTTTTGAGATTTTAAACCAGGGCTTTACATTAATACAATCTGCCTAGATTACTTCTGGCCACATAGCTGTCATCCACTGGGATTATCTTGTTGGTTTTGGCATCAATATGTTCTTCTTAATCATATATTTAAGCAGGTTTTTTTGTCTGCTTTGTTGAATTGTTTTAAGCATTTTTTCGAAGTCAATGTGCTCTACCATTTTAGGATGCTAGATTTCAGCTCTCCATCTGTCTTGATTGCTGATTTGTATGTAGTAAAGATGTATTCTTGAACAATTCTCTTTTTTTCCTTATCTGTGGCTACAGGGAGTTAATGTAGAGCCCTGGTGTTTGTTTCAGTATGTTTCATATTTAGATTAGTTCATTCTTCTTTTTTTAATTTCCCTTAAACACAACTCTCATACTGTAACTGGAATTTTTCATCATTTTTTTTCTCCTTTTCCACGACCTTCTTAAACATGCTTCAGAACTCACTTTTTATTATCCCATATTGCATCTGTCCCTTTAGAGACTTTGATAAGTCAATTACTACAGTATCCTGCTCTGTGTTCCTTGTAAGCAAAGTCTTTTTTTCTGATTTAGGCTTTATCAGACTTCTAGTGTAGTCATTTGGAAAAAGAAAACTAATTCTCTTTTACTTTAATTATCACATCTGGTAAAATGGGAACTTTTTCAAAATGCCCTTTTAAATATGTTGCCTTTCTCTTTCAACTTTTTTAGTGTTATTCTCACTAGGGTGTTTTTTTTTCCTTTTTTAGAATGTATTACAGTTGACTTAAAGTCAACATTGCAACACCCTACTAGCTTGATCCATAATCTGTGACCATCTATTTTTCCTGATGTGCTTTATAGTAAGCTACTAACTAGAATAAATTGCTGTTATGAAATTGATTTGATGGTTACTGTTACAGGGTTTTTCTTTACAGTAACATTTGGAAGGGTTAATTTCTTTTAGCGGTTTCTTTTAAATTTGTTTTTAAGAGTATTCTTTTTTTTTGAGTAGACTAAATCATACTTTAGACTTAGTTTTTAATGTTCTATTAAAAGGTATAACTTGTCCCTGTCTGTATTTAGCTCTCAGCATTTTTATCTTTTAAATTTTAATTCACATTAAGATAAACCCTAAACTTAGGTTTATAGATTTATTTTCATGAAAGAAATAGAACTCTAAACTCATAAGTGCAAATTTCCTTTGGTAGTTGTTTTACCGTTATTCCAAGTTTTGTTGAATATACTAATTCTATCATGAAGTTTATTTTAGTTTTTGTTCTGTGCTGTTTTTCAAGATATAGATGTATAATTAATGTAATTAAAAGATTTGTTAAACTTCAGGTGACTCCCAACTTTATTATTTTTGCACTTGTGCAAAAACAAAAAATATGCCAGAAGTGGCATGACCAATGCTTTCACAAAAGATCTCTTAAATTCCAAAGAAAATAATAGTATCTAAAAAGAAAATTATTTTAAATGACTTAAAATCTTTCCTGCTGGAATCATAAAGCTATTTAGGAAGTCACAAAGGAACACAAGGAAACCATGAAAAAACCTATCCAGATAAAAAGTTTTTGGATTTCTGTATGACTATTCTGTTACTTTCTAGTTCCTGAAGAAAGCCAATAACTTAAATGTATCTAAATTCGTAATTGAACAAAGTATTGTGTGAAATCTAGTATAAAATTAGATTTAAGAGTAGGATGCCTTCTATCCTAGTTACAAGAGTTAACCTTTTAGCCTGTTTTTTTAAAAAGTTAGTTTTAGCTAGTTTGGGTATTCTGTCAATATGTGGGTATATTTACGGACTAATTTTGAGGCCTTTTGTTTATTTGATTTATAAAACTTGTGTTTGTAGGTTGGACCAATTTTAAGAAGTTTAAACACATGGGTGCTTAATGTTTTCTAGTTGCCTTAACATAACTGATGCTTTTCTGTGTATGTCTACATCATTTAAAAGGTACTTAAATATTTAGGGGTGGATCCTTTTATAACTGATGTAGAAAAGACTTTAAAGAAAATTACTGTAGTAGAAATTGATAATAAAAAATTTAAAGCTTTTAATCCTGCTCTCTGGTATTGCTGCATAACTTGGAAAATCTGTTATTTTTCCTCACTGGTGACATTAGATGGCCTATGTGATCAAAAGTGTTTCTCACTGTGAAATGAGAAATTTAAAGGAAAAAACATCTAGTTTTTGTCATGGTGGAGTTCCTTATATTTTAGAGATGACTTTGTGATAGTCTTTTCTCAGTTATTTTAGAATATGAAATAGTGTTACCTCAGTCTCAAATTCCTTCAGGTTCCTTTCACTTAAAGAAAATTGCGCACTACAACCGTTTAGCTGTCTTGTCACTTGAGTTTTTCTTTTTAGTTTCCCTTTAGAACCCCTTCGCACTACAACCGTTTAGCTGTCTTGTCATTTGAGTTTTTCTTTTTAGTTTCCCTTTAGAACCCCTTAAATTGTACTCTACTCTGCCATTCTGGAAGTGCTTCCCAAATTATTCTTTATATAACAGGGTATCTCAGAGACATCAAGATAAATTAGTTTTCCTCCAGAAACTTCTGAATTCAAAAAGTGAGTCTTTTTGCTTGATTAATCTCATGTAGTAGTCACCTCAGTATAGAATTTAGACATGACTAAAATTTTTTTGTTGCTTTTTTTTCTTAATCTTCGGCAATTAAAACAAATAAACCTTTGGCTACATAATTGGGAGGCCATAATTGAGGCCAACGGGGAGAGTCTTTTTCCATTGTTTGTCCATGATAGTGCATACTTGTCATCCTATCCAGAATAGGAAGTCTAAAATAGTAGGATACCAGTCCAGATATATGCCCTGGGGAAGAAAATCCTATCTCAGAATTAAAAAATGGACTAGAGATATGGCTCAGTATTATATAGCACCTGTGTAGCAAAAGCCAGGGCCCTTAGTTCAAACTAAAGTACTGTGTCCCCTACACACACACACAAAAGAAGGAAAGAGGATTGGTACAGTACTGCATGTTAGGGGTGGGTGGTGGAACATAAATAAGTAGGTGATCTTTCCAGCATTTTGAAAGAACAGCCATAGTTTAACCATGTTTGACTTCAACGAATATGACAAGATACCATTCCCTTTCAGCTTTTTAGCCTTGTTGTCTCCTATAAATTAGAAGCATGCTTAATAATAGACCATTCTTCTTAAACATTTTGTAAGGATATATAATCTGAAGATTTTTTTAAATTCTAAGTTAATATCTGTTTAATTCCACTTCTGAATTTTGTGAATTTTACCTATGATGCTTCTTGCTTAGAGCTTTAAAAAGTTCCAAGCCAGGTGCCAGTGGCTCACACTGGTAAACCTAGCTAAACTACTCAAGAGGCTGAGATCTGAGGATCACAGTTTGAAGCCAACCTGGGCAGAAAAGGTCTTGAGACTCTTATTTCCAATAAATTACTCAGAAAGGCGCTATGGCTCATGTGGTAAAGTGCTAGACTTGAGCATGTAGAGGCTCAGGGTCAGCTCCCAGGCCCTGAGTTCAAGCCCCAGGACTGGAAAAAAAAAAGTTACCTCCAATAAGAAAGTAGTCACAAATCTCTTTGTTCCTATTAACCACTGTTTTTAAGATAGCTAGTTTTGAGATACATGGAAATGCTAGCTAGTATTTCCCACATTCTAAATAAATACCACTTTCCTTGGATGTGTTCAGTCTTACTATTTTCACAAGGTTTTAACTTAATTCTGTTCAGGAATTCAGAATGTTATAAACTTTTAACAGAAATTAGAATGCCATTTATTATAAAATACCATTCTGAGACTTCAGAGAGGTATAACTTAATAATTTGGTGCTACATTCTAGCTATAATTGTATTAAGTGATCAGTGGATATAAGAGAAATAGCCTCAATTTGTGGGAGTTTGTGACATAAATAATAGATGTAAAAAGTTATAAGTTGAGATTTATAAGCAATGCAATAATAACTCACTTTTTAAAAAACATTTTTTTTCCAGAGCACTTTCCATGAGCTTGGAAATGTTCTGATAATCAGTTCACCTGTAAAACTTTGTTTTTCAAAACTGAAAATACTGAAACAACTAGTTAAAATAACTTAGGAGTCAACATTTAGTAATAATGTAGTTTCAGAATGGAACTGAGGCAGTTTGATAGAGGACTCACTTCATTCACTTTTCCTCTTTATTTACATTTGCTTAAAAGTTAGTTTTATATGTGTATTTTATCTTAAAAGAAAATTGGTTGGAATAAAATAAATGTAGGCTACTTCCTTTAAATTTAAAATAAATCACAAAGGAGCAAGTAATGATGTATGTAAGTTCCCTCCTTAAAATTTGGAAGCAAGCACTCCTTAAATATGCTTGCTTGTTTTAGAGAAATATGGAAACTTTATTGATCAGTGGCAACATTTTCTTTGGGGGGGGGGAGGTGTCCGGTTGTGGGGCCTGAACTCTGGGCTGGGCACTGTTCTTCAGTTCAAAGCTAGCACTCTACCACTTGAACCACAGCGCCACTTCCAGCTTTTTTTCTTTTTGCTTATGTGGTGCTTAGGAATCGAACCCAGGGCCTCATGCATGCAAGGCAAGTGCTCTACCACTGAGCCACCTTCCCAGCCCTAGTGGGAATATTTTCTAAGTAAGCCATTCCTGTTAAATCCTGTTAGCTTTCTTGGCAGTGTTAATGGTGGAGTATTTTCTACTGTATGTTTAGTAAATAATACACTTGGAGCATGTCTAGAGGCTAAATGAAATTAATTAGTTTATATACTTAAGACATATTCTAGAAGAGTACTACCAAATAGCAGATGTAATTATACAAAGTGGATACTTGGTTTTGTCTACAGAAGAAATTAATGCTAGTACATTTGTTGGATCTCAAGTACTCTTGATCCTTATTCTATATCTTTTTCTTGTTAGACCTATTAAGTATGCTGACCAAGTTAATCCAGTTTTTCCAAGAATGTGCATAGCGTATTTGAGGGCAGGATCAAACTTCAAACTTAGAGAAATGGTTTTAAATTAAATCAAGGTGATTTAATGAATGGGCCATTAATGTTTTTTATAACTTATGGTAATGTATAGACATTAACATCCTAAACTTTAAATGGTTCAGATGAAAATATTTTAGCTTTTTTTGTTGTTGTTAATTCTACTAATTTACTTTGCTGCAGGAGTGGAGTCAACATATCAATGGAGCAAGTCACAGTCGCCGATGCCAGCTTCTTCTTGAAATGTAGGAGTTTGAAATACCTTTAAAGCATCCTTACTATGAATCAGAAACAGCTGTTACGGGTTTGGGTAGCTTATGGGCTTGTATCCACAGTATTCTTATCCCATAGTTGTAGATAATGTCTGGGCAATTTTTTAACAAGAAATAACATGTTCAGATTATTACATTGCAGATTAGATTCAATAAAAATACTTTTCTTTCTAGGGTAAATACAAATTGGCCCATTAATTTATATGGAAAGAATTTTTAATGGACTTAATGACATAATAGCATTTTTAATAGTGAACACATGTTCTAAAACGTAGAGTGGTCACTAAAATTTACTAGTTATCAAGCAATTTTTTTATTTTTTTTTCTTATAAAATGCCTTTGGTTCTGAGTTTAGCTGGTACATTAAAATGGAATTTGTAAAGAAACCATATGAAACAAAACATAGTTCCCTTTGAGTGAAGTTGAAATTCTCAGACATGCCTGACTGTTGGGGCTGGCTTTTCTAGTGTCACAACTTAATTCTGCTTTTGATATTTAGTATCGGGGAAGGAAAGCCTATGGTCTGTTTGTTTCTCTAATATAACCTTCATTTCTAGTTCCTTATATAACATTCTCATAGAATAATGAGTGTATAAGAAATTTTCAATTTCAACATACATTCACCTACATCTGTAAGCCACTGTCTTAAATTTTTCCTTTGAAATATTTTACATGCTTTAGAACTAGTACTTTTAACACTAGACTGTCAGCTAAATTTACTAGTAGATTATCTCTACTTTAGAGGTCAAAAAAGGGTAATTGTTAAAAGGGGGAAGGGGGTTGGTTTTATTTTAAAGTTAATTTTCTGGTCTTTTTTAAGCTACCCAGAATGGAATCCTGACAATGATACTGGACATACAATGTAAGTCAAATTTTTTTAAGCTATTGTTTGTAAAGGAGATCAATTTAAGGAATCCAGGTTTAATTTTCTATATTTCATAGTCATTTTCAATATCTGCTACCAAATGTGAGTTAGGTTAGGATAAGAAAATTTTATAGTTGGGTGCTGGTGCCTCACGCCTGTAATTGTAGCTACTCTGGAGGATGAGATGAAGCCTGCCCAGACAGGAAAGTCTGTTAGACTCTTACTAGAAGTAGCACTGAACTCAAAGAGGTAGAGTGCTGGCCTTGAGCATTAAAGCTTAGGGACAGCACCCAGGCTGAGTTCATGCTCCATGACCAACAAAGAAAAATTTAAAAAGAAAACTTTTATGTAGTTTTTTTTTTTTTTTTTGCTGGTCATGGGGCCTGAACTCTGGGCCTGGGCGCTGTCTCTCAGCTCTTCAACTCAAGGCTAGCGCTCTACCACTTGAGCCACAGCACCACTTCTGGCTCTTTCTGCTTATGTGGTGCTTAGGAATCAAACCCAGGGCCTCACGCATGCGATGCAAGCACTCTACCACTAAGCCACCTCCCAGTCCCATGTAGTAATTTTTATTCTTTCATTAGTGCAGACTTCTCCCCAACTTTGTATATATTTCTTCATATTACTAGGGGTGATCCATTCATGTTACAGCAGTCTACAAACCCAGCACCAGGAATTCTGGGACCTCCACCTCCTTCATTTCATCTTGGCGGACCAGCAGTTGGACCAAGAGGAAATTTGGGTAATTATATGGAAATTAATATTACCTTTTTCTAAAATCTTTTGTCCTAAAAAGTAAATGCAGGAGAAAACAATCTTTTTTGTTTTGTACTAGTCCTGGGGCTTGAAATCAGGGCCTTGATCCTGTCCCTGAGCTTTTGTGCTCAAGGCTAGTGCTTTACCACTTAAGTCACACCTCCCCTTACCTTAGTGTTAAGGGTGGCAACAATTGTAGTCATAACAAGGCTTATTCAGGGACTGGAGATGTGGCTTAAGTGGTAGTATGCTTCCTTAAAGCACAAAGCCCTGATTTCAAATCCTATCTCCCTACCCCACTCCACCCCCCAAAAAATATATATATATATATTTCACCATGTATTTGTAATGTCTTCATTTGTGTTTAAAAGATGTCCATTTCGAACTCATAAGTGAATTTATTATAAATCTGAAAAAAATGCTCTTTCCTCCATAAAGGTGCTGGAAATGGAAACCTGCAAGGACCAAGACATATGCAAAAAGGCAGAGTGGTCAGTAATATAATCATTGCTTTTATTGTATTTACTGCTTTGCTTTAGGCAGAAGAATTTACTCTCCTCAAAAAACTTGATTGTGTAGTTTTTTTTTATTTTAATTTTAATTTTTTGTGAACATACTGTATAGAGGGGTTACAATTACATGGGCAAGATAATGAGTACATTTCTTATCAAGCATTGCAGCCTCCTCCTTTGTTTACCCTTTGATTGTGTAGTTTTTAAGTTCATTAGAATGTTAGGAATTTTGAGGGGAGTTTGTTTATTTTCACAAATCCTGGGTATTGTCCCTGAGCAGAGTAGTTTGTTGTGGACAAGTGTCTCAGATTGTCCTGTCTGGGATGGTTTCAAACCTCAGTCCTTAGATCTCAGCCTCCTAAGTAGCTAGGATTACAGGCTTGAGCCACCAGCATCCAGTTATGCATGTTTAATTTTTTTTGGGGGGGGGGGTCCGGTCGTGGGGCCTGAACTCTGGGCCTGGGCACTGTCCCTCAGCTTTCAGCTCAAGGCTAGCGCTCTACCACTTGAGCTACAGCACCACTTCCGGCTTTTTTTCTTTTTGCTTATGTTGTGCTGGGGAATCAAACCCAGGGCCTCAGGCATGCAAGGCAAGCGCTCTACCACTGAGCCACCTTCCCAACCCCTAAGATAACCTTCTTATAAAATAACAATTTGGAAACACTGGTCTTATTTTGTCTTTGAATTCCTGAAAATACTTTATTATTACTAAATAGTTGTGCAGAAGGGTTATAATTCCATAAGTCAGAATATGAGTACAATGCCCCTTCATCCCTATCTCAATATCCCTTTCTCTGTTCCTTTGTCCTCCCCTAAAACATGTTTAATGTTTAGATGTAGCTATATATAATATCTACTAGGTAGTTTGGAAGTCATGCTTGTTTTTGATAAATCCTTTTTTTTTTTTTGTATTATTTCAGGCGTTTATTGAGATGGCAACCACAGAAGATGCTCAGGCTGCAGTGGATTATTACACAACCACACCAGCATTAGTATTTGGCAAGCCAGTGAGGGTTCATTTATCCCAGAAGTATAAACGAATAAAGGTAGTATTCTTCTGTTTCTTTTTCCTTCACATTCTATGTAAATCAGTTTAATACATCATTTGTTTGTTAACTTTGTCTATTTAAGAACTGATTTTGAGCCAAGCGCCAATGGCTCATACCTGTAATCCTAGCTACTCAAGAAGGCTGTTTGAGGATCACAGGAGGAGGATCAAGGAGGCTGAGGATCACAGTTTGAAGCCAGGCCAGGCAGACTCTTATCTCCAATAAACGACCAGAAAATGGAAAGTGAAGCTGTGACTCAAGTGGCATAGAGCTCTGGCCTGGAGCTGAAGAGCTGAGGGACAGCACCCAGGCCCAGAGTTCAAGCCCCACAGCTGACAAAAAAAAAAAAAAGAATTGATTTTTTTCTTTTATTTGGGTCATGTTTTTGTTGTTTTGGTTGGTTATGGGGCTTGAACTCTGGGTCTGAGCACTGTCCCTGAGCTCTTCAGCTAAAGGTGAGTGCTCTACCACTTAAGTCATAGTGCCACTTCCATTTTTTTGGTGGTTACTTGGAGATAAGAGTCATAGATTTTACTGCCTGGGCTGGCTTTAAACTAGGATCCTCAGATCTCAGCCTCCTGAGTAGATAGGATTATAGGTGTGGGCACCAGTGCCTGTCTTGGGCTGTCTTTATTGATTAAAAATAACAGCATACCTGCCTGCATTTGATTCATCTTTCCTTTCTCTACTTCCCCTGTTTATTAAAGAAACCTGAGGGGAAACCTGATCAGAAATTTGATCAGAAGCAAGAGCTTGGACGTGTGATACATCTCAGCAATTTACCCCATTCTGGATATTCTGACAGTGCTGTCCTCAAGCTTGCTGAACCTTACGGGAAAATAAAGAATTATATATTGATGAGGATGAAAAGTCAGGTAACATACCTATTGAGAAGATTTAAGTTTCTCAAAAAGATTTTAGAATACTTTGGTTGGCTAATAGTGCTTAGTGGCATGTTGCATGCTAACATATGTGAGGCTTTGGGTTCAATCTTTATCACCAAGTAAAACTTCTTTTAGTCATAGTTGGTTGAAACTATGAGGAATTGGATAAATTAAGAAAACTGTAGGCTGGGAATGTGGCTTAGTGGTGGAGTGCTTGCCTATCATGTGTGAAGCCCTGGGTTTGAGTCCTCAGTGCCACATAAACAGAAGAAGCCAAAAGTGGTTCTGTGGCTCAAGTGGAAGAGTACTAGCCTTGTACAAAAGAAGCTCGGGGACAGTGCCTGGGCCCTGAGTTCAAGCCCCAGGACTGACAAAACACACAAACACACACCTTTCCTTTCTTGCCCTTGCTAATGACACCTTTTCTAGGGTTTGCTTCCCAAGATTTTTCTATGCAGATAAAAGTTTCTTTTTGTGAGGTTTGGGGCGGGGGTGGGGAGGGGACAAAAAAGTTCCTTTTTGTGTAAGTGGTATTTTACATGATGCTATTGAATTAACTGTCAAATTGAGCCTCCTATTGATGACTGTTTAAAGTTACTTTTCTTATTTTTACCTTTCCTCTCCTCCCAGCTAAATCATTAGTTCTCTAGGGACTTTAGAACTTTTTATTTATTTCAGTGTGTTTAGTTAAAAGATGAAAGGTGGCTCAGTGGTAGAGCGCTTGCCTCGCATGCATGAGGCACTGGGTTCGATTCCTCAGCACCACGTAAGCAAAAAGAAAAAAGCCAGAAGTGGCGCTGTGTCTCAAGTGGTAGAGCGCCAGCCTTGAGCTGAAGAGCTGAGGGACAGCTCCCAGGTCCAGAGTTCAGGCCCCAGGACCGGAACCCCCCCCCCAAAAAAAAAAGGTTGTGTAAAATCAAAATTTAATGACTAAATTAAGTTACCTTATACTTGTGTTTTTTTATTAAATGAATTTAGACTGCTTAGCTCAGTAGTAGAAAGCCTGGATTCAATCACAAAACTTTCTCTGTCTCTCTCACTCACTCTCTCTCTCTCTCCCCCCCCTCTAAAAAAATGGTGACATGAATACCTTTTTTTGTTGTTAAAGTATATTTTAGGTTAATGTTCAAAATTTGTATGTTTTCAGACTCTTTAATGTTTTGATATCTTCTGAGTTTAGAATTTCTTTGCATAAAGGCAACAAAAAGTTGATTGTATTTGGTCTTTCGTAGTCTTAGGTAGCATTGTATGTCTGACAGGCTCTTAGCTTTACTTAATTTTCACTAGAGTTGATGAGGATAGAATAGAAATTAAAAAGTTTTATGCAGTTCTGTGAAAAATAATGACTTGTGGGGTTTTTTTGTTTTGCTTTGTTTTTAGGCCTTTATTGAGATGGAGACCAGAGAAGATGCCATGGCAATGGTTGACCATTGTCTAAAGAAAGCACTTTGGTTTCAGGGGAGATGTGTTAAGGTTGACCTTTCTGAGAAATATAAAAAACTGGTGCTGAGGGTATGTAGCATTTGGTTTATTACTCATTTAAAAAAAAAAAAACAAAAAAAAACTTCTTGCCGGGCGCTGGTGGCTCACGCCTGTCATCCTAGCTACTCAGAAGGCTGAGATCTGAGGATCGTGGTTCAAAGCCAGCCCAGGCAGAAAAGACCGTGAGACGCCTATCTCCAATAAACCACCAGAAAACCGGAAGTGGCGCTGTAGCTCAAGTGGTAGAGCGCTCACCTTGAGCTGAAGAGCTGAGGGACAGCGCCCAGGCCCAGAGTTCAAGCCCCACGACCGACAAAAAAAAAAACTTCTTGATAGGTCACAGTGGCCTATAATCCCACATACTCAAGGAGGCTGAGTCTGAGGATTGTGATTGGAAGCCAGTCCAGGAGACTCTTCAGTTAATCACCCCCAAAAAAAACACATGGAGTTGTGGCATGAATGGGAAAGCAGCCTTGAGCAAAAATTTTTTGCTCAAAGACAGTATCTAAATCCTGAGTTCAAGCCCCAAGGCTAGAATGTGCATGTGCACTTGAACGTGCACATACACAGGAAGGGCTGGGAATGTGGCTTAATGATAAGAGTACTTGCCTAGCATGCATGCATGAAGCCTTGGGTTTGATTCCTCACTACCACATAAACAGAAGAGGCTGTAAATGGCATTGTGGTTCAAATGGTAGAGTGCTAGCCTTAAGCAAAAAGAAGTTCAGGGATAGTGCCCAGGCTCTGAGTCCAACCTCTGGACTGGTCAAAAAAAAAAAAAAAGGAGCAGCACCCCCCCCAAAAAAATCTCAAGTGACAGTCTTTATTTTCAAAATAATTTTATTACTTTATTGTTTTAAAATCACAGTTGAATAAATACCTTAGCATGTTCTCCACACAACATACATGTATAAAGAAATTATGTAAGTATATGTATTGACTGCTGTACATTGAAGAAACCACTAATTCTATTGTACCATTAAAAGTGGAAATCATTCATTGCATAGCATGTTTATACCGGTTCATCCGTACCCCCCACCCCCCGGGTCCGGTCGTAGGGCCTGAACTCTGGGCCTGGGCGCTGTCCCTCAACTCTTCAGCTCAAGGCTAGCGCTCTACCACTTGAGCCACAGCCCCACGTCTGGCTTTTTTATTTTTGCTTATGTGGTGCTCGGGAATCGAACCCAGGGCCTCAGGCATGCGAGGCAAGCGCTCTACCACTGAGCCACCTTCCCAGCCCTATACCCGTTCTAAAGCGAACAAAGCCAGGGCTGGGAAGTTGGCTCAGTGGTAGAGTGCTTGCTTCGGATGCATGAGACCCTGGGTTCAGTTCCTCAGCACCACATAAGCAGAAAAAAGCCGGAAGTGGTGCTGTGGCTCAAGAGCTTGCTTTGAGCTGAAGAGCTGAGGGACAGCACCCAGGCCCAGAGTTCAGCCCCCATGACTGACAAAAAAGAGAAAAAAAAATAACCAAGCCATTTTCTCAAAGCAAAAAATTTTTTAAAGAAAATTTTAATGAGCTATTTAGGCATACTGAAACTGTCATCAGACTTTAAGACTAGGCGGTCAAATTGAGTTATGATTGATTTATGATATGTGAGCAATTCAAACCTATGAGAGTACTCTGAATTTAGTATATAGAGTCTCAGGTGCTTTTATTCTCTTTTTGAAAATTTTTGAAAGCAAAAGGATTTAATGATAAAAAAACAAAATTGTACATCTTTTCTACCTTGGTTCTGCTGCTCTTAGAGCTGAGGTATTAACATGAGTGACAGATTCTTACTGTCTACTTAAAATTTTATATTTGAGGACTGGGAAGGTGGCTCAGTGGTAGAGTGCTTGCCTTGCATGCATGAGGTCCTAGGTTTGATTCCTCAACAACACATAAGCAGAAAAGGCCCCAAGTGGCGCTGTGGCTCAAGTAGTACAGCATTAGCCTTGAGCTGAAGAGCTGAGGGACAGTACCCAGGCCCAAGTTCAGGTTCCACAACTGACAAAGAAAAAGTATTAGAAAAGACTGGTAACCAGCAGGGCACTGGTGGTTCACGCCTGTAATCCTAGCTACTGAAGAGGCTAAGATCTGAGGATTGTGGTTCAAAACCAGCCAGGCAGGAAAGTCCATGAGACTCCAATCTTCAATTAATCACCAGAAGAACCAGAATTGGTGCTGTGGCTCAAGTGGTAGAGTGCTAGCCTTGAGCTGAAGAGCTGAGGGACAGCACCCAGGCCCAGAGTTCAAGCCCCACAACCAACCAAAAGAGGGAGAAAAAAAAGACTGGTTACCATTTTATTACTGAATTATCTATTTTGTTATGTATTTGTGAATATAGGCAATATGTCTTTGGTATGAGTACAGAGATTGGATAGGAAGCATTGATTATATAAGAGATTGTCACAAAATACTGGATGATTATATATTCAAATGAGTTTTTAAAATACTAACTTTTGTAAAACTTTCTTGTCTTTTAGATTCCCAACAGAGGCATTGACTTACTAAAAAAAGATAAATCACGGTAATTTCAATTTCATGTGTTGTGCATGTTGTGTATTAAAGTTTTAGTTTTCATCCCAGAAAAAAAAAATCTTTGTGTCTTTTTTGATTTCAGAAAAAGATCTTATTCTCCAGATGGCAAAGAATCTCCAAGTGATAAGAAATCCAAAACTGACGGTTCTCAGAAGGCTGAAAGTACAACCGAAGGTAAAGACCAAGAAGAAAAGTCAGGGGAAGATGGTGAGAAAGATACAAAGGATGACCAGACAGAACAAGAACCTAATATGCTTCTTGAATCTGAAGATGAGCTACTTGTAGATGAAGAAGAAGCAGTAGCTCTTCTAGAAAGCGGCAGTTCAGTGGGAGATGAGACTGATCTTGCTAATTTAGGTGATGTGGCTTCTGATGGGAAAAAGGAGTCTTCAGATAAAGCTGTGAAAAAAGATTTGAGTGCTTCATCAGCAACCAAGAAAAAACTTAAAAAGGTAACTTTTTTAAGACTATTCTGAGTAGTTTTAATGGAACATTAGTTCAGATCAATTTTTCACATTATTTTCTTACCAAACGGGGTCAGATAAGGAAAAATATTTTATATAGGGGGAAAAAATAAGAGCTAGGCACCATCGGCTCACCCCTGTAATCCTAGCTACTTAGGAGGCAGAGCTCTGAGGATCGAGGTTTAAAGCCAGCCTGGGCAGGACAGTCCATGAGACTCTTATCTCCAGTTAACTACCAGAAAACCAGAAGTAGCCCTGTGGCTCACGTGGTAAAGAGCTGAAGTGCCAAGAGACAGTGCCCAGGCCCAGAGTTTAAGCCCACGACCGACCCAAAAAAAAAAAAAAGATTAAAAATGTAAACATTTAAATCCAAACTTCACAATAAATATGTGTAGAACATTTCATAAATTCATTTAAAAAAAAACTTGTAAAGAAAACCTTTTCATAGTGCATGTTCAAACTATTGTATATATATTATATGCTTGGGTTTTATACTGATTCTATGCTTGTGCAATTTGCTTTATTTTTTTAGGCAAAGATTTATTTTAGTAAGGGAGGGGTAAAGAGAGAAGCATGCCCTACTTCCCATTTACAGAATCAAAGTTGAGTATTCCAATCTTACTGTACAGCTTGTTTTCAAAGAGGTGGTATGAGCTTACATAATCCCAGTACTCCTTAGGTAGAAGCAAGAGAATCAAGAGTTCAGGCTAACCCAAGCAAATAGTAAGATTCTGATTCTAACAGAAAACAGGTGAGGGTAAGGAGTTTGTAGGTTAACTGACCCAAAAAAAAACTTAAAACATTTTGCTATTTATTTAAAAATCACTTGAATTTGAAGAATTTTTCCTATTTGAAAAATACAACCTTAACTGTCTTTTGAAACAGCTCATTAAAAAATAAGTTAACTGAAGCCATGCATCGGTGGCTCATACCTATAATCCTAGCTACTCAGGAGGTTGAGATCTGAGGGTCGAGGTTCAAAGCCAGCCAGGTCAGGAAACTCCATAAGAATCTTCAATAAACCAATAGGAAACCAGAAGTGGCTCTGTGGATCAAGCGGTAGAGTACTCCCCTTGAGCTGAAGAGTGCAGGGGCAGCACCCAAGCCCAGAGTTCAAAGCCCACGACTGACAAACAAAAAAAGAAAAAGTTAACTGAGGTGTTACAAATTAAATTTTTATCCTTGGTAAAGAACAGTAAAACAAAAACTTCTTACACTAAATAAGAGCTGTCTTACATGTTTCTAAATAAGAGCACTATCACATTGTCTGAGAAGTTGTAGAAAATAAGTATAGAATGTAAGTAAGTGTCTTTACAAAAGTTATTTTTGTTTTTCATGTTTGACCAGGCTTTCCATTTGGTGAAGTTTGATTTTTGGTCTAGGTTTGAGTTTGGTATTAGGGATTGGATCTCAAGGACAAGCAGCCAGACATACTAAGCCATAACCCATTATTTATTTAAGTCATCAGTGGGAGGAGAAAGGAGGAGATAATTTTGGAAAGACAAAGACATGCCAGGCATGGTAATAACATGCCTGTAATCCCAGCTTTTTAGAGGCTGAGGCAGGAAGGAAGATCAAGCTTAGGCTACTTATTGAGGCCTTATTTTAAAAGAGAAGAGACAAAGACGCTATCCCTTCAAGTAAAACAAATGGAAGGGATGCTGCAAGATAATTGTTGCAGAGTAAATTTGTCTTTCTTAACAGCGTCGTTTCCCAGGGAGTGTGGAAGGTTTTGTCACTCTAGATGAGGTTGGTGATGAGGAAGATTCGGAACTTCACAAACTTCGTAAATCAGGCATGACATTTAAATCTGGTGACAAAAATGATGATGGTTTGGTTGAAATTAAGGTGGACAAGATCGAAGAACTTGATCAAGAAAACGAAGCAGCACTGGAAAATGGAATTAAAAATGAGGAAAATATGGAACATGGTGCTGAATCTGCTGAGAATACTGATGATCCCAACAAAGACGCAAGTGAAAATGCAGATGGCCAAAGTGATGAAACCAAGGAGGACTATACAATCCCAGATGAGTATAGAATTGGACCATATCAGCCCAATGTTCCTGTTGGTAAGCTTTAAGACTTTGCTCTTCTACCTTTTAAAAATTAGTTTTATTTAATATCTGAGAGGGTTAAGTTAGTTTTCTATTTTCCCTGTGGGAAACAGTTGGCAAAACTTAACAAGTTGGTACATCACTCTCACTTCTTCTTTTACCCATTTCTTAATTTTGTATTATGTTATCATTCCACAATGATGTTCTCCTCATAAAGGTTTCTGAAAATTACACATTCCTTTTTGTTTTGTGTTTCTGTGTTACAGTCTGTCTTTCATATTAAAAGTACAATTAGGTAAGACCTTCAATACTAGTTAAGTACAAAAAAGCTAGTATCATAGTTTTGTTTTTAGCTTAGGCAGTATTGGACTTATTGCACATACCTTGTCTGATTCAAATTATATTATCAGGATAAAGAGATTTGAGACTACTGAATACACTCTTCAGTTTACTTAATTTGTAAGAATGTATGTTTGTATTTCTAGGTATAGACTATGTGATACCTAAAACAGGGTTTTACTGTAAGCTGTGTTCACTCTTTTATACAAATGAAGAAGTTGCAAAGAATACTCATTGCAGCAGCCTTCCTCATTATCAGAAATTAAAGGTAAGGCTGAATCTAAAACAGGAGAGTTCTTTTGTGAAAGCTAACATCACTTAAGATATAGAAATAAATGCAATCTATAAATATAATGTGTGTAAGTCTGTGGACCTGGCACAGTGCTTTATCCTGAGGAAATTTTTATATTTTTCATTTGTGGCTTTATTTACACAAGTTAATGGACTCTGGAAACATCTGTTGAACATGGTTTTGCTTTTTTGTTTTTTGGGGACTTGAACTTAAGGCCTGGGCACTGTTCAGGAAGTCTTTTTTGCAGCCCCTGGGTTGAAGTAATGATTTAGAATTAGACACTGGTAACTCAAGTCTGTAATCTTTACTACTCAGGAGACTTAAGGTCTGAAGATCATAGTTCAACACCACCCCAGGCCAGTAAAGTATGTGAGACTCGCCTTTTTGGGGGGTGAGGGGTTGGGCACTAATGCTGGGGCTTGAGCTCAGGGCCTGATCACTGTCCCTGAGCTTCTTTTTGCTCAAGGCTAGCACACTACTACCTGAGCCACAGTGCCACTTCCAGCCCTTTCTGTTTATGCAGTACTGAGGAATCTAGGGCTTCATGCGTGCTAGGCAAGAAGTCTACCACTAAGCCACATTCCCAGCCTATGTGTGTGAAACTCTTATCTCCAGTTAACCACCAGAAAACCACAAGTGAAGCCGTGGGTTAAAGTGGTACGGTGCTCTCCTTGAGCAGAAAAGCACAGGGACAGTTCCTAGGCCTACAAAAACATGAAATAAAAGTACATTTAGGGACTAGAGAAATAGTTCAGTCACAGAGTACTTGAATATCATGTATATATTCTGTGTTTGACTGCACTATTACTTCTTGAGAATGGTATGTAGATATAATACATAAATTAATTTCATATTAGATTAGTCTCATCCCAGTGCAAGTTTTTGTATCAATAGTTCTGCTCATGACTGGTGCTCTACCTTGAGTCCTTACGTATTGTTAGTTACCTATTTAGAAATACTCCAAAATCTAATCAAAACACTTCTTTCTGATCCCAGCCATTTCAGATAAGGAATAGTGCACCTGCATTGCATTTATGTATCAAATTGTTTTTTGTTTTCTTTTTGGCTTATATGTCGGGAGCTAGCTAGGGCCTTGTGCTTGCTAACTGGTACTCTAGCACTTAAGCCACCACCCTGCCAGACAAATTCTGTATTGCCTAGATTGATGAAAGGTAGTTTTATTTGGGGATTTCAGTATTGCTTGTATCGCTTCAGTCTTTGCAAATACTAATTTTTTCCCCCATCATGTGGCTTAAAACTCAACGCCTAGGCAGTGTCCTTAAACTTCTTTTGCTCAAGGCTGTCACTACCACAGTGCCTGTTCCAGCCTTTTCTGAGTAGTTCATTGGAGATAAAAAGTATCATGAACTTTCTTGCCCAGGCTGGCTAGGATTACAGTTGTGAGCCACCAGTGCCCAACTCAAATACTAAATTTTTTACTAACTTACTGAAAGTAAAATTGAATCCATGTCCTCCCTCATGCTGAGCATATACTATTACTGTTGAGTTACACCTTGTTCCCTAGTACCAGTATTTTATTGACTTTATTTTTAAGCTATTTTAGGTCAGAAACTATATGTATTAGAAAATTTTGGAAATAATATGTGAAGTAACCTCTGAGAGTTTCATACTTGATATGGACTGTATTATAATAATTTTCTTCTAGCTAAAAAAAGCTATATCTAAAATCTCTATTTAAGGCTGTATATTTCATTATTAGCAATCAGAACTACTAGGCAGTATATCTTGCTAATAAAAGAATTGATACTTTTTCTAATGGTTTTGTAGGGGGGGTTGTTTATTTTTTTAAGGTATAGTTGTGGCTCTTAATATATTTTAATCAGAAGTAAAAAGGTTTACCTCTTTTTTTCTTTTTTCTTTTTTTTTGCCAGTCCTGGGGCTTGAACTCAATGCTGGGCACTGTCCCATTGCTTCTTTAGCTCAATGCTAGCACTGTATCACTAGAGCCACAATTCTACTTCCAGCTTTTTTTTTTTTTTTTTTGGTTGTGGGGCTTGAACTCTGGGCCAGGGCGCTGTCCCTGAGCTCTTTGGCTCAAAGCTAGTGCTCTACCACTTGAGCCACAGAACCATTTTTGGTTTTCTGGTGGTTTATTGGAGATAACTCTCACAGACTTCCTGCCAGGTTTGGGTTTGAACCATGATCCTCAGATCTCAGCCTCCTAAGTAGCTAGGATTACAGGTGTGAGCCACTGGCACCTGGCTAATAAATATATCTTGCATATTGTTAGTAGATCTTGCTATCTAAAAATTCTAAACTAGATGTCATATATGTTAGGAGCTAGCAAACTCCATGGGCAGCCCAGTCCCTGCTTTTGTAAATCAATTTTTTACCTTTAAAATTATTATCCATGGCTATTTTGGTTGAGTGCAGTAGATATAACAAATAATTTATGTTTTGGGCATAGCACTAGTTCTATGTGATCATGTTCTTTGTTTTTTTCATGTGTAAAAGTTAGGGTTAATTACACATTAAAATATCCATTTTTCACATTTACCATTTTTTCATGCCTTATTGTGGTGTCCTGAACTTTGTGAACTAAAGTTAAAGAATTAACTCATTTTTAAAATACAAAGTTTTAGGCTAATTCACACTGAGGTCCCTAAACTTCAATTGACTTATTGATGGATTGATGGATATGTTGCTTTTCTTTCAAGTTACTTAATTGAGATAATTCTTTTTTTCCTCTCTCTCATCAGAAATTTCTGAATAAATTGGCAGAAGAACGCAGGCAGAAGAAGGAAGCTTAAGATATATAAGAAGCATAAAGATTTCAAAAAAAACAATGGTTCTTTGTTTTTAATGTTAACCTTTTTTAAATACAATACTGATAGTTAGAGGAAAACTATTGTACTCTTTTGTTTTAGTGGATAAATACTAGATGTCTGTTCATGTGCTAAGTGTTATAGCAAAAATATACAGTTAAGTTCATGAATAGTTTTTGTTTCATCGGAATGGCAACAGACAGAAGTACTTTGTAGAGACTGATTCTGTAAGCTACTATGTAAGACAACTTGCACCACTAAGAAAAAGATAACAGAACTGTTCAGAAAAATGAGATTTATTAGATCCAAGCTGCAACGGAATGTCAACAACTTTTAATTCCATTCAATAAAGAACAAAACCAGTTGTATTTTTATTACTTTCATCTGAAACATTCCATGTTTTAATCTGAGCCTTGTAGACCTTTCATTTGGAGTTTAAAGCTGCTTTGATGCATTTCATTTTTTAGAGAATTCCATTCATGTGAGATTGGCAATTCAAATGCAGGTGCCATTTTCTTTTAATGTCATGATGTTGTTTAGATAGCAAGAAATATTAAATAATTGGCTTTAGATTTTATAATTTTTTCCCTGAGTTCCTGCTAGGTTTCATATTCCAGTAGTCAGTGTACTTTCAGTGAAATGTAAAAAAAAACTCTCTTTGACCAGTATTAATTTCTTGAGATCTTACTGCTTGTCACTTGAATCCTATAGCTGTCATACATCTCTGGTATAAGCAACATTTTATTTCTGAAGTGTGTGTAAACCATCTCTTCATGTTTTCAAGATGTAATTTTACATTTTTTAAAGTTTGGCCATAATTCTAGACGCACGCTTCTAATTCATTGTACCTGCACATGTGACCTTTGTGAACCGAAATTTGCATGTATAATCTGTGTTTACTTGTAACTCTGGTTATATTCTGCTTATATCTGTGGATTCAAGTTACTGAAGTGAATACCAATAAAAAAAAATCTAGGCCATGTTCATTGGTTATACATGTTTGGAATGTTAACCAATATATTTGTCAGTTGTGGTTTTATTCACTATTATACTTTGTGCATGCTTTAACAAATTACTACTTTCTAAATCTATAGTTGAGTATTCTAAAAAGTGCTACTAAAAATCTAAATGTTAAACTTCCTTCTGCTGGTACATTTCTTGTTCTTGTTACATAACAAGAAAGGGGACTTTCTGGTTTTTAATTTAGTTTTTACTTCTCAAGCCCTTGAATTCAGACCTGGGTTCTGTCTCTAAGCCTTTTTGGTGAAGGCTATCTCTGCTCTTATCACTTAAGCTACAATTCTACTTCTGGTTTTTTGTTTTGTTTCATTTTGTCAGTTGTGGGGCTTGAACTCGGCCCAGGTGCTGTCCTGAGCTCTTCAGTTCAAGGCTAGCGCTCTACCACTGGAGCCACAGTGTCACTTGTGGTTTTTCTGGTGGTTAATTGGAGATAAGAATCTCATGGACTTCCCTGCCCAGGTCTGTCTTTGAACCATGATCCTCAGATCTCAGCCTCCTGCGTAGCTAGTATTACAGGCATGAGCCACCAACATCCAGCTCTGGGTTTTTTGTTATTTTTTTGGTAGTCAGTTGGAGCTGGTTTTGAACCAACTTCCTCAGTTCTCTGCCTTTTTTTTTTTTTTTTTTTTTTTTTTTGGTCATGGGGCTCGAACTCTGGGCCTGGGCTCTGTCCCTGAGCTCTTCAGCTCAAAGCTAACACTCTACCACTTGAGCCACAGCGGGTTTCATGAACTTTCCTGCCAGAGCTGGCTTTGAACAATCTCAGATCTCAGCCTCCTGAGTAGCTAGGATTACAGGTGTAATCCACAGGTACCCATATCCAATTCTCAGCTTGCTTTATTTGGGGGGGAGGGGGTTAGTTGTGGGGCACTCAGCCTGGGCACTGTCCCTCAGCTCTTAAGTTCAAGATTAGCACTCTTACCACTTGAGCCACAGCACCACTTCTGGTTTTGAGTGTTTTACTGGAGACAAAGTCTCATGGACTTTCCTGCCCAGGCTGGCTTTGAACCGCAATCCTCAGATCTCAGCCTCCTGAGTAGCTAGGATTAAAGGCATGAGCCACTAGATCTGACTCATGATTTCTTTTAAACCTTAGGAACTTCAACTGCTAAAGATGTAGAAATTGAAAATCCTTTTTCATTAAAATTTTTCATTAAAATCTGAACAGTATTAAGATGTATCAGCCTTTCAAACGATGTAGGGATTCTTGGGGTGTGGGATTATCTGTTGTGAAAGAAACTTTTCCACTTAAACTGAACTCTTCCTGTTTTTGTTCAAGGCTAGTGCTGTGCCATTTAGTTTCTTGCTGGTTAAGGGAGATAAGGGTCTTATAGACTGTTCTGCCCAGGCTGGTTTCAAACTACCATCTTCAAATCTCTGCCTCCTGGCTAGGATTATGTATGACCCACCAGAGCCCAGCAAGAACTTCTTTGTGCTGTTTCTGCAGCTTGAACTTGGGGCTTGGGTGCTGTCCCTGAGCTTTTTATTTATTTATTTTTTTAAGCAATCACTCCACCACTGGAGCCACAGCTCTACCTGTGGCTTTTTCAAATTCTCAGACCCAAATGTTTACAGTAAAATTGTACTAATAAAATTTTAGGATCTCAATAAAGGACAAATGACTTTTCATGTAACATGCACAAGAAATCCTTGCCAGTTCATTTTAATTTTAGACTTTACTAATTAGCTATTTCTGTTTAATTTCAACTTTTTAACTAACAAAGCTATAGAATTGTGTGCACAATAGAACTTAATTCTTTTCCGTTATGACAACTTTTTTCAAGTGTCCTGCTTTATTGGATCTAGCAGTTTGAAGAAAGGGATGCTTTGAAAAGTTTTACCTAGGCCAAGCATTTAGAAATCAGACACGTAAATTCATAGTTCTTAATAGATTCTCTTTGTGCCCATCAGGAGTGTTGAATGCAGGGCTTTGACACTGTCCCTGAGCAATTTTGCATAAGGCTAATACTCTCCTGCCTCATCTAGCTTCCAGTCATGATCCTCAGATCTCAGCCTCTTGGGCTTTGGGGATGTTTCTGTTTTTGTCACTATTAGTTGTGCTTAGGGCCTTGCACATGCTAGGCAAGCCCTCTTACATGCTGGTACTTAGGGACTTTTGCATGTGGCTAGTCTAGTGTTAAGAGAACTTAAGTCAAGCCTCTGCTTCCAGCTTTTTGCTGGGTAATTAGAGACAAGTGTCTTGCAGATATATCTGGCCTAAATTTCTCAGGTCTGTGACTAGTTACTAAAGGGGAGTGCTGAGTTGCTTTTCTTTTTTTGGGGGAGCCTGAACTCTGGGCCTGGGCGCTGTCCCTCAGCTCTTCAGCTCAGGGCTAGCACTCTACCACTTGAGCCACAGCGCCACTTCTGGCTTTTTTCTTTTTGCTTAAGTGGTGCTGAGGAATTGAACCCAGGGCCTCATGCATGCAAAGCAAACGCTCTACCACTGAACCACCTTCCCAGCCCTGGATTGCTTTTCTTTACAAGTTCATAAATGGAAATCTGCAAGAACACTGGAGCCCTTTTTTTTTTTTCAGGTTAACTGAAACATGTCTGCTTGAAGATAGCTTACATTAGGAAGGAAGTGGCTTTTTGATGCACTTTGGTTTCTGTCCATCATAGTATATGATATGGTTCATTATGGTTGGGGTTGAGATTATATTCCCTTGCAAGGATCCCAGATTGATTGTTGAACCCATCTGTGTCTAAAGATCCCCACCTAGACTGTAGATACAGTTTAGTGGTAATATGCTTGCCTAGCATGTGCCAGGCCTTGAGTTGGATCCCCTGCAGGATGAAGTTTAAATTGGGAGCAGCTCACACTTATTTAAATCCCAACTAAGTAGGAGGTAGAGATCAGGAAGATTATAGCTCAACGCCATCCAGAGTGAAAACATTTCAAATGAAAACTCTTGGAGCTTGACACCAGCTACTCAGGAAAGTGAGATCTGAGGAAGAAAGGCTGTGAGACTCCAGTTAATGACTAAAAGCCACAAGTGTTGCTGTGGCTCAAGTGGTAATGTACTAACCTTGAGGAAAAGGAGCTAAGGGACTACCCAGACCCAGAGTTAAAGCCCCAGGACCAGCTGTAAAAAGAAAAATCGTGTAGTGGGGTGCAAATTGTTATCCCAACTAGGAGTATTGTGCTCCAGACTGGCTTTACCTTAAAGAGTTTGGTGTGCAGAATTGAGTAGGGGAGCCGGGCGCTGGTGGCTCACACCTACAATCCCACCTACTCAGGAAGCTGAGATCTGAGGATCTCGGTTCAAAGCCACCCAGGGGAAGGAACATCTGTGAGACTCTTATCTCCAATAAACCACCAGAAAACTGGAAGTGGCGCTGTGGCTCAAGTGATAGAGCCATAGTCTTGAGCTAAACAACTCAGGGATAGTGCCCAGGCCCAGAGTTAAACACCCATGCCCAACCAAAAAAAAAAGAGTGGCTCCAGTGGTGTGCCTATTAACAAGACACTGAATTGAACCCAGCCCCCTCCCAGTACTACAGAAAATGTATATTACCTCTACAAATTCTATGGCTGTTAGGTTAAAGCAGTTTATATTCTACACAAATGTAGACCCTAGAACCAGTATTCCTGGTACATCATCACAGGGAAAGAGAAACATTTTTGGACTCTCTCCCAGAATTTAACTTGTGGATTTGGATAGATGTTTGCTTGTCAAGTTTCCAGAAACTGACCACATGTGGTCATTACTCCTTTATCAAGTTCAGGAAGTGTTTGTGCTTTGATATAACTAGATGCCTGAAATGATAGCTATTTCTTCTAGTACTAGTTTCCAGCTCATAATGCTAGCGCTAAAGGAAATACTGCAAAGTAGTTGTCAGGGGGTTCATCCAATAGGGGAAGAATACATGTGAGCCAGGTGCCAGTAGCTCACACCTGTGCTAGCTGAGATTTAGGATCTTGGTTCAAGTCAGCCTATGTGGGGAAGTCCATGAGTATAATGCTAATCAGCATTTACACACCCTATCACAGCATCATTGAACATGTATGTTTTGTTTTGCTGTCGGTTGTGGGGCTTGAACTCAGGGCCTGGGGACTGTCCCTGAGCTCTTTTGCTCAAGGCCAGTGCTCTGCCAATTTGAACATCAACTCCACTTCCAGATTTTGAGTGGTTAATTGGAAATTACCAATCTCACAGGGGCTTTCCTGCCAGGACTGACTTGTTGAACTATGATCATCAGATCTCAGGCCTCTTTAGTAGCTAGGATGACAGGCATGACAGGCCCAAGCTGGTACCTGGCATGTACAATTTCTTTTTAGAAATTTAGGCTGTAGTGTTTCTAGCCTAAACTATTTTAGGAATAATTTTAGTCTAAATTTTAGAAATTAGACTGTAGGGTTTCTAGCCTAAACTATTTTTTGAACTTCTTTGGTGGGAGTTGGAGGGAGTTTGGACTTGGCCTGGATGCTCTCCCTGAGATTTTTTTGCTCTCGGCTGTACCACTTGAGCCACAACTCCACCTTATTAATTGGAGATAAGAGCTTCAAGGACTTCTCTGCCTGCCCATGTATGTTTCAACCCACAATCCTCAAATATCAGCTTCCTAAGTAGGATTGTAGATCTGAGCCATCAGCACAAATGACAGGGTTTGTTTTTTTTTTCCTCCTGTATTAGGATAGGGAGAAATATCAAAAGACATTAAAATCTCACCTAACTTATTGGCAGTTACCAAGTTCTATATGGGCTTTTTAAGGATGTTATCTTCATGAAAAACATCTACAGGTATATCTCAGTGGTGCTTGCTTAGTATGTGCAAGGCTTAATTCCCAGTTACACTTTTTTGTTTTGTTTTTTTTTGTGTGTGTGTTTTTGGTTATGGAGCTTGAACTCCGGGCCTGTGTACTGTCCCTGATCCCTGAGCTCTTCAGTTCAAGGCTAGTGTTCTACCACTTTGAGCAACAGTGCCATTTCCATTTTTCTCATGGTTGATTGGAGATAAGAATCTTGCATACTTTCCTGCCTTGGCTGGCTTTGAACTACAATC